GAATGGCAGCAATTAATGTGCAAATGAGGCCACTGGTAGGAAGTTTTCTTCGCAGGACATGTTTTTCGAGGCGGCTTCTAATTACGCTGGCGCTGAGATGCGTCGTAGTGTCTTATTGCTGGCTCGTTACGGCTTGATGCGTCCGATGGATCCCAAAGAATGTAACAACGCAGGCCATTAATTTGTGGGGGTGTTTGTGCAAGAGACGAACGAGGGGCACCCTTCCCAGGAAGAATAACAAAAGAACATGTGGGTGCTGCTGCTTTAGAGGGGGGGGGGGAGACAGACAGAGATGGGACAGATTCAGGTGGGTCGCCATCAGTGTCCCCTCTAAGCTGAGTTAGTGTGAGCTAGCTCGCAGTTTTTTAGCCTCCGGCTCACACATTTTCATCTTAGCTCGGGAAGGACGGCTCCAGAGCAAACTAATTTATGCAGTAGCCAAATCGCTCGCTCGTAACTTCAATGCCAGGAGCTCACAAAGTAGAATTTTTGCTCACAAGTAGGGCTATTTTGGGGCAGGAACGCACAGGAACGGAGTTCCAGCTGGCTCCCAAGTTAGCCACGCCCACCAGGAACTCATTAGCATAATAGGCCACACCCAACAGCAGAAACTCATTAGGATTGGCTACATTAGGGGTGTGTGGCCTAACATACAAAGGAGTTCCTGCTACAAAAAAAGGCCCTGGGTTTGGACAACAAACAAGGTAAACAGAATAACAAGCAAAAGGTGGGTGTGGCTGGATAACCGCACTTCTGGTAACATGTGGGTGCGGCCTAATGTGCTAATGAGCTGTGCTGTCAGGGGTGTGGCCCAATATGCTAATGAGTTCCTGCTGTTGGGTGTGGCGTATCATGCTAATGAGTTCCTGCTGGGCTTTTTCTACAAAAAGAGGCCTGCTCCCAAGACTCCACAGCTTACAGCACTGGTCACCGTGTTGGACTGAAGTGTTCCCTCTAAGCTGAGTGAGTGTGAGCTAGCTCGCAGTTTTTTAGCCTCCGGATCACACATTTTTGCCTTAGCTCAGGAAGGAGGGCTCCAGAGCAAACTAATTTATGCAGTAGCCAAATCGCTCGCTCGTAACTTCAATGCCAGGAGCTCACAAAGTAGAATTTTTGCTCACAAGACTCCACAGCTTAGAGGGAACTTTGGACTGGGGAATCAAACCCCGTTCTCACCGTGTTGGTCTGAAGCAGCAGAACAAGGTTGGGGTCCAGGGGCCCCTTTTAGACCTACAAGTGGGACAGGATAGAGTTGTATTCAAGGAGTATCCGAATGATACGGAGAGAAAGAGGTTTTCAGTCTCTCTTGCTGCCCTACGTGAGGCATTTGAGAAAAAAGGGCTTGCCAATGCTTACGCCTTAAATTTTTGTTTGGTCTATAGCATCCTATGAGACACCCTTTGCTGTTTTGTTGTGCTTATAATCTCATTATTTGGGGATCAGCCAGGTAAACTGATTGGCTGAACGTTTTCAAGCGGAGGCTGGATGACCATCTTTCGGGTATGTTGTATCTTTCAGCCATGCTCCTGCAGAGCACAGGGGGTTGGACTAGATGACCTGCAAGGTCCTGTCCAACTCTAACATTCTATGATTCTATGATTAAAACGGTAAGAACATAGCTGTCGTATAAAAACATTATCAAGAGAAAATTAATACAAACCGTAAAGTAAAATAACATGAATAACAGCATCATACAATTTTTCCAGCTAAAATAAGTTTACGTTTCCTAATAGCCAAGAAACAAAATTTTGCCACAGCGTAAGTCACTGAGCTCCGAACGTCTTCTAGGAGGAATTTACGATGGACTTCTGGCCTAAAGTCAGACTGCAGAGGGCTAAATCTAGACAGAAGGGGTAGTATAAGATGATCTAGTTCCTCCTGATAGAATCTGCAGAACGGGAGGAGACGAGTAACTGATTCCACCATATTAGCCATCCAGGGGCATATACGTTTATGCATTGGAACTCGAGTGAATTTACCTTGCAGTACAGCAGAAGGGTGGGCTACGGTGGCTCAAGTGGTTAAGATGCTGAACTGCAGGCCGGATGGTTGGTAGATTCAGCAGTTCGAGACCCGAGTGTGCCACATGATGGAGTGAGCTCCCGTCTCTGGTCCCAGCTCCTGCCAACCGAGCAGTTCGAAAGCAAGAAATTGCAAGTAGATAAACAGGTACCACTTCGGTGGGAAGGTAACAGCATTCCATGCACCTTGGCATCTAGTCATGCCGGCCACATGACCACGGAAACGTCTTTGGACAACGCTGACTCTTCGGCTTGGAAGCGGAGATGAGCACCGCACCCCTAGAGTCGGATTCGACTGGCTTTAGAGCAAGGGAAACCTTTACTTACAGCAGAAGGGAGTGCCTCAAAACGGGCTCTGGAAAAGTCTTTATCTGGGGGCATTGTGGTGGCTCTCTCAGCAGCCCCGAAGCCACCCTGCGATCCTTGGCAGAAGGGCGGCATTAAAATGTACTAACTTTTACTGAGCTTTCCTTCAGCCAAAGCTCAAAGAATCTGTTTAGAGTGCCATAGCTCCCCCACCCCTCCCGAGAGGTGTGACTCACATGTGAACGAGCAGTTGAACATGTACAGAGTGCCTCAGTGTGGGCGGGTGCAATTCCAGGGTAAGCTGTTGTGTCCTCGTGGGGTGGAACTTGGACCTGGACAAACCCTTTGTGAACCCAGCAGACGATTTGCTTTGGAGGGGAGGAGGAGGAGAGGAGATTGGATTTATACCCCGCCCTTCACTCGGAGTCTCAGAGCGGCTTACGATCTCCTTTCCTTCCCCTCCCTACAACAGACACCCTGTGAGGTAGGTGGGGCAGAGAGAGAGCTCTTGAGAAACTGCTCTTGAGAGAACAGCCTGAGAGAACTTGTGACTGACCCAAGGTCACACCGGCAGCTGCATGTGGGGGAGTGGGGAATCAAACCTGGTTCTCCCAGATTAGAGTCCACCGCTCTTAAGCACTACACCAAATTGTCTCAGTGGAAGAACAGCTGCTTTGCAGGCAGAAGGTCCCAGGTTCAATCCCCGGCATCTCCACTTAAGGAGACCAGGCTGAAGGTGATGCGAAAGACCCCTGCCTGAGACCCTGGAGACCTGCTGCCAGGTCTGGTTCTGTATAAGAAAGCTTCATATGCGTTCCTGTGTCAGAGCCAGTTTGGTGTCGTGGTTACGTGTGCAGACTCTAATCTGGGAGTACCGGGTTTGATTCCCCACTCCTCCACTTGCACCTGCTGATGTGACCTTGGGTCAGTCACAAGCTCTGTCAGAGCCGTCCTTGAAAAAGAGCAGTTTCTGTCAAGAGTTCTCTCAGCCCCACCCACCTCACGGGGTGTCTGTTGTGGGGAGGGGAAGGGAAAGGAGTTTGTCAGCCGCTCTGAGACTCCAAGTGAAGGGTGGGGTATAAATCCAATCTCCTCTTCTTCTTCTTTTACCTCACAGGGTGTGTGTTGTGGGGAGGGGAAGGGAAGGGGAGGGGAAGCCGCTCTGAGACTCCCTTGGGTAGTGAAGGGCGGGGTATAAATCCAATCTCCTCTTCTTCTTCTTTTACCTCACAGGGTGTCTGTTGTGGGGAGGGGAAGGGAAAGGAGTTTGTAAACCGCTCTGAAACTCCAAGTGAAGGGCAGGGTATAAATCCAATCTCCTCTTCTTCTTCTTCTACCTCACAGGGTGCCTGTTGTGGGGAGGGGAAGAGAAAGGAGGTTGTAAGCTGCTCTGAGGATCCTTCGGGTAGTGAAGGGTGGGGTATAAATCCAATCTCTTCTTCTTCTTTTACCTCACAGGGTGTCTGCTGTGGGGAGGGGAGAGGAAGGGAAAGGGGTTTGTCAGCCGCTCTGAGACTCCAAGTGAAGGGCGGGGTATAAATCCAATCTCTTCTCTTCTACTTCTTCTAACTGTGGAGCAGTCAAAGTTGCTATGGCCCAGGGCAGATGGACCGGCGATAGGTAATTTGGTGTCCACCGAATCCCGGATTCGTTGGCCGAGGGAGGTGGGCCTCCCCGTTTCTGCCACGCCAGGTGTTTGCCGTGCAGCTTAATGACAGCTATTTATTTGAAGACGTCTCTATGACACTCGTCTCCATGGAGCCTGGGGCCCGACACGGCAGTAAAGCTTTTAGCCGCAGATAAATTAATCCACGAATCTCAAGTGAATGAAATTGCTCATTCATTCGGAATGAGCTGGCAAGGAGCTTGCAACTTGCCCGGGCAAAGTTTCTTGTTGTTCCCGAGGAATAAGCTAGCCTTGGATTAAGCGAGAGAAACGTCTCTGGGGAAACAAAGTTTGAGTCCCGGGGCACCTTTAAGAGCAACAAAGTTTTATTCAAGGTATGGGCTTTCGTTGGGGCGCACACTTCCTCAGATACAACGAAGTGGAAATAGAAATAACATTCATACAGCTAGAGACTGGGCAGTAAATTAGCATACGGAATGCTGAAGGTGTTTTAAATAGATGAAAAGAACAATAATGAAGGTGTTCTTGTGGCCTTTTCTTACATGGCCGAGGAAATGCCATGGGGTCAGGAAGCATTTTTTCTCCAGTCCAGTTTGGCCAGGGATCCTGGAGGGTTTTTTGTTATCTTCTGGGCATGGAGCAGGGGTCACTGGGGGTGGGGGGGGAGGTATTTGTGAATTTCCTGCATTGTGCAGGGGGTTGGACTAGATGACCCTGGAGGTCCCTTCCAACTCTTATGATTCTATTTATTTATTTATTTTTAGATTTATAACCCACCCTCCCCAAAGCGGGCTCAGGGTGGCTAACAAAAGAGGCACATATGCAAAGATTAATACAATTAAAGACAGAATGAAACAATCATTTTTTATGTGTTTTTAACAGATGAAAAGAATGAAGGTGTTTTTGTACTAAGCTTATTATTCTTTTAAATATAAATTCGATAAATAAATTGCATAAAATAAATAAATTGGATAAATACTCTGCCGCATGGCACAAACATCTGCTGGAAACTTAGTTTTTCTTTTTCCGTTTTTTTTAAACTTAAGGTCACCTTCGAGCAGTTTAAAGAAGCACTAATCCTCATCCTATCCAGGACTTTAACAAATGAAGAGCCATTTGAGGAACCAGGTAAGCCAGCGTGGGGGTATTTCGGGTAGATATCGATGCTGGCAAACAGCCATTGGGGTGGGGGTATCGGACTCAGGCCGACAGTTTCCATCAGGTTGTAACGGGGTAGCCCTTTCAGTCTGCCGTAGCAAAAATTATAAACCTCTTGTGGCGACTTAGAAACCAACAACATTTATTTGTATCTATTTATTATTAGTTAAACTTTTATCTAGAGATGTGAAGGCCTGGAAAAAAAAACGGAAACATTCGGGGAAAAAGCGTTTTTTCCCCGTTTTTTTCTTGAAGCCTTTTTTGTTTTTTTCCGAAAAATTGGAAAAATTGAAAAAAGAAAAGAAAAAAAATTGATTATGGAACGTTTTATTTTAACATGATGAATAAAATATTTTAAGACAAGGTGTTCAAATATTTTCCAGATCATTTCTAAAATATATATATGTGGTATCAGATTGATCTAATTTCTGTGCATTGAGGACAAGCAAGTCCTAGGTTACAAACTGAACTCTCCAATGCAAGAACAAGATGCATTTCTTCCTTTAGGAGGTGCGATTGTCAGAAGAAAATAAAAAAGTTTCAGTTTTGTTTTTGCATGTGGGTGGGTATTCTGTTTGTCATAATTGTTTGGATACACTATATTTTTAATATGCTAGTTGTGATAATTCCATGCCAAGTAAAAATGTCCATAGTCATATTTTATGTTCCTAAAGTAACAGAATAACTTTAAATCTAGAAAAGACAAAAGAAATGCTAATATAGCATTTTTTTCAATTTTTCCGAAAATTTCCGTTTTTTCCCCGGAAAAAACCCGGGGTTTTTTCCGAGCTTCAAAATTTCCGGAAATTTTACATCTCTACTTTTATCCCGCCCTCCTGGCCTAGGCTGGCTCAGGGCGGCTTACAACAGATAAAATTCCAAGGTATGTAAAAATAATAAATACAACCAGTCTTTCCTCTAAGCTGAGTGAGTGTGAGCTAGCTCACCGTTTTTTAGCCTCTGGCTCACACATTTTTGTCTCCGCTCCGGAAGGATGGGGCTCCAGAGCAAACTGATTCATGCAGCAGCCAAATCGCTTGCTCACAACTTTGATGCCAGTAGCTCACAAAGTAGAATTTTTGCTCACAAGACTCCACAGCTTAGAGGGAGCGTTGAATACAACATTAAAGCACCATGTTCAAACCAGACATAGTAATAAAATGCTGACCTTATGCGTCGGTACCACTGCTCTGCTTGAGCTGTCATAAGAAGATGTTTCAGATGTCCTAAAGAGGGGGAATCGGCTCGGGCAGTTATTAGGGGTCCAGTGGCTATTTGAATAGGACATTTCACAGGTCACAGCTAGGGTTGCCAACCTCCAGGTGGGGCCTGGAGATCTTCCAGAATGACAACTGATCTCCAGATGACCGGGTTCGGTTCCCCTGGTGAAAATGGCAGTTTTGCGGGGTGGGCTCAACGGCAGTCTACCCGGCTGAGCCCCTTCCCAAGAATCCGCCCCCAAATCTCCAGGGATTCCCCATCTAGTGCTTCACAACTAAGATTTCCAACTCGGGATTAGGAAATGCCTGAGATTTGGGCAGGCCCGTAGCCAGTGTCCCCTCTAAGCTGAGTTAGTGTGAGCCAACTCACAGTTTTTTAGCCTCCGGCTCACACATTTTTTGTCTTAGCTCAGGAAGGAATGGCTCCAGAGCAAACTAATTGATGCAGTAGCCAAATCGCTCCCTCACAACTTGAATGCCAGTAGCTCACAAAGTAGAATTTTTGCTCACAAGGCTCCACAGCTCAGAGGGAACATTGCCCGTAGCTACATTGGGGCATTTCGGGGGGGGCTGACTTCCTAACAAGGCCCCCCGACTTCCGTCTAGACCCGGCCCACCGCCTTCCCCAAGCACAGCTTGCAAAGTTTTTTCTAGTAGGTGCGGGTAGGTGTTCCAACTGGAGCTCCAACTGCTCCTGCCTGCTCCAACTCCGAAATTTTATTAATTTTTTATTTTATTTTTGTGACCTCAGTGCCCCCCGACTTATTTAAAGGTCCCCTGAATTACAAAATCCTGGCTATGGGCAGGGCTTTTTCTACAAATAATTTTCTACAAATAGCATAATAAATAAATAAATAAATATAATAGGCCATACCCAACAGCAGGAACTTATTAGCATATTAGGCCACACCCTGACAGCACAGCTCATTAGCGAGCCAGTTTGGTGTAGAGGTTAAGTGTGCGGACTCTAATCTGGGAGAACCCGGTTTGATTCCCCACTCCTCCACTTGCACCAGGCTGGATGACCTTGGGCAAGCCATAACTCTGGCACCGCTGTTCTTGAAAAAGAGCAGTTTCTGTCAAGAGCTCTCTCAGCCCCACCTACATCACAGGGTGTCTGTTGTGGGGAGGGGGAGGGAAAGGAGTTTGTAAGCCGCTCTGAGACACCTTTGGATAGTGAAGGGCGGGGTATAAATCCAATCTCTTCTCTTCTTCTTCTTCTCATTCGCATATTAGGCCACACCCCCATGTTACCAGCAGTGTGGTCATCCAGCCACACCCACCTTTTGCTTCTTATTCTCTTTACCTTGTTTGTTGTCCAAACCCAGGGCTTTTTGCATGTTAGGCCACACACCCCTAAGTGTAGCTAATCCTAATGAGTTTCTGCTGTTGGGTGTGGCCTGTTATGCTAATGAGTTCCTGCTGGGCGTGGCCAACTTGGGAGCCAGCCGGAACTCCGTTCCTGTGCGTTCCTGCCCCAAAATAGCCCTGCTCACGGGACTGTATTTGGGGGGTGGAGCCGCCACCTGGACCTACAAGACGGCTGGGAACAGTGACGTCAGTGGGGAGGCGACAGCAGTAGCTCCCAAATCGCTCTACTCTGCCCCAAGGAGGGCTGCTGGGAGCGGCCACCCTCTACAGTTAGTGCAGGAGGGAGAGCTGCCCACCACCTCTGCGCTGAGGGGAAAATCAGTGTGCTGGGGGGCAGAAATCAGTGCGCCCAATGCACATTACTGGGAATACTGGTCAAGAAGAAGAGGAGGAGGAGGAGGAGGAGGAGGAGATTGGCTTTATGCCCCGCCCTTCACTATCCAACAGTGCTCCCTCTAAGCTGTGGAGTCCTGTGAGCAAAAATTCTACTTTGGGAGCGACCGGCATCAAAGTTGTGAGCGAGCCATTTGGCGGCTGCATCAATGCGTTTGCGCTGGAGCCGTCCTTTCCCGAGCCAAGACGAAAGTGTGTGAGCCGGAGGCGGAAAAAAACGGTGAGCTAGCGCACACTAACTCAGCTTGGAGGGAACACTGCTACCCGAAAGCGCCAGAGTGGTTTACAATCCCTTTCCCTTCCCTTCCCCACAACAGATACCCTGTGAGGCAGGTGGGGCTGAGAGATCTCTGAGAGAAACTGCCCTTGAGAGAACAGCTCTGAGAGAACTTGTGACTGACGCAAGGTCACACCAGCAGCTGCATGTGGAGGAGTGGGGAATCAAACCCAGGCCTCGCAGATTAGAGCCCGCGCTCCTAACCACTACACCAAACTGGCACCAAACTGTACACAATCCTCCAAATGAGGCCGCGCCATCGATTTATACAGGGGCCATTTCCTTCTGCATCAAGGAGCGGAAAGACCAGACCAGACCTTGGCACAGCTCTGGTCCAGAAATAATTAAGAATTTCCTGGATTGCTTCTAGATACCCGGTTAAATAATTTAAGGCAGCTGGAATTATTCCTGGGCTGAACTGACAGGCGTTTTCATCTCCTTTTTGGCGTGACCTTGAGTTGGCACGCATCCGTGAGATACACCTGGGTTTCCGACATTTTGTGTAGAATCATGAGGCCTGGTACCAGTTCCTAAATTCTTGTTGGCCTTCTGAGGGAATGATATTGGCCTGGCTTTCGAACAGCTTGTCTGTTTGATTTCTTTCCAGTACATTAGAAGGATTCTGGGATGTCTAAGAGGGCTGGGGAACCTAGATTCCAGGGAGGTAAAATTAATTTCTGTTGGCAGTTCCTTCCCTCAGCTGAGGCGACTGCTGTGTTTTTGGACCTGGGTTTCGGGGCCGATTGTGGGCATTTAGTGGTGTGGGTCATGCTACCATCAACCCATCTCTAGTGCCATGTTCTCCAACTGTGGGGGAGGGGAAGGGCCAGACTTTATTGTTGTTGTTGTTTTTTGAGCCCCCAAAGGGGATTTTTTATTTTTTTATATCACTACAAAAACTACAACAGAAAAGGGGAAGGGGAAACTACATTTACGGGATAAAGGAAAGCACCCACTACTAACTAAAATCCCAAGAGAGGAGACCCTCCAACTAGCTTAGTTACATCCAATCTTCCCATCATTTATAACATTATAAACTGAGTCAAACATTTATAGTACTTTTCTTTTAAAGCTTAAATTTTAACTGTCTAAAAACAGTACCCCCATTCATCCCGTTTCAAAGTTCTCAAAGGCACAAGTCAGAGTCCTTCAGCCTTTACTTCTCCTTTCCCCGTCTCTTCCGCAACTTATAAGGACTTTTTGGGGCTGCTGCCCCTTGCTCTGACAGAGAGTCCTCTCCGGAAGAACTCGAGTCCAGCTCGCCACTAGACTTGCTGTCCTCTTCTTTTTTTCCGTCCTCTGGCCTTCCCAACTGGACCCTTAGAAATTCTTGAGCTTTCAGAACAGAGTCAATCTTTTCTTTTTTTTATCCTTAATCTTGAAATATCCAATTGAATTTGTCTGAAGAAAAAGCACAAGTTCTTTATACTTCTTTCTCCGTTGTCTTCCTTCAAATGGAATGTCCTTTAATACTCTCTCCCACTTTCAGGGATATTCCAGAAACCGCTTTCAGGATTGCATCCCTCACATGCCTCTTCGAGAATCTTACAACAATTTCCCCAGGCAGATTTTTTTTCTTTATGTAGCCTGAATATGATCTATAGACCACATCCATATCGCTTAGCAACAATGGCCAGACTTTGTTAACAGGGCTGTGAGCAACTGTGAGTTTTTAAAGAACTACAGATGCTTCTAAACGGTGTCGGCAG